CTCGGCTTCAATTACAGCTTCAGTTTACACTTCAATTTAAAGTAACATCCAGGTTCTTATATTTAGGTGACCTGATAAAAAAAATTAATCTTGTTAAATGAACTGAGATTTCACACAGTCATGGTCTACATAAAACAAAGAAGTTATTCTTGTACATGACAAATGTCTGACTGTCTCTTTTGTGCTCCCATGAAATTGCCATTTGTGGTTATGAGTGATCTGTCGTGATAGCCGTTGGCCTGATAATCTTGAAATTTAATCCACTCATTTACTTCCCCCCTTAGGATGAATTATAATAGATCACTGCAACATTTCAACTGTCCAATAAATTGGTTTAATTTATTGAGCAAATTCTAGCTTACCTTCTAACAAGTTTAAAAACTTTGGTAAACATTAAAGGCCTGTATGCTAATGTTGTTACTGTTAGCTGTTATCGTTAAGTAGAGGAACTGAACCCTGAGCCTGAAACCTGAACTGAAATCTGAAACTTCAATTGTAAGTTAAAGTAGAGTGCATTTTACTTCCACAGGCCTCAGGTTTATAACCACATACCAGCAACATTTCGTCCGGTATCGTCTGTAAACGTTATTTAGTTGTGATTAGCAGATGCTAAGTAGCATGCTAAGGTTTGGAATTGCTAACCATTATCATAATTATTATTCTGTCCTATTATTCTGAAACATTTGTATTATTTGAAAATTAATTAATGTAGATTCAAGATATGTAGAGTTTTCCATGGATCTCTTTTGGATCACACTTTTCTATGTGCCTACAGGTCATTTCAAAGAGCTTGCTATTTAGCTGCAGAGCATTCAGATGTAACCTGACTTCAAATCTGTTAGTGCATTTTTGTACTTTGTGCCAAAATGGTGTGGAGTACAGAAGTTTCGATCTAATTTCAGGACACTGAAGGCACACTTAAAAATAATAAAACCAGTTCATGAAGGATTCATTTAAAGCCCCAAAAAGCAAATACAAAACTCAAATCCAGAAATAACCAAGGCACAACACACACTTTGACCAAGACTGAAGGGACAGCAGGGCTATTTATACACCGAGGGCTGTTAGGCACTAAAACGATTGTAATGACTGAAGTCCGTATTCACTCCTGTTAACAGGACTGCAACACATAAAACATAGCAATACCAAGGACCACAGCATTGTGTCATTCTGCTCGAGTGTTCAGCAAAAAAAGACTTTTGGACTTTTATGGACAAAAATATTTTATGACTCAGCCGATGTAAAGCTTGGATAACTTGTTACTCTGAGCAAATTTAAAGTATCTGGAACGTTTGTCTATGTTCAAATTAACAGTAAACACGTTGGTACTAATCTTGTATCCCAGCTGAGGAAAGTATTTAATTCATTTATTTGCTTTTATATAACATTTGGTTTGTTTTTTATTTTGTCTTAAATGTGTCATGAACTCTTGACACTATGACTATGCACAAATGTTTCCCTGTGTGATATAGGCCACACACACACACACACACACACACACACACACA